CCACTTTACCTTCGGAAGTCCATGAGATCCAAAACAGTTTATATATGTTACCTTCTGAACTCAGTTACTTTCTGTGCTCTTCGTTGCACCTTTGATATAAAACCATGTTTTCTAGAGATAGATATTTTGCTGTGCACACATCACATAGTGTGCGAGTATTTGCAATTTCATGTTCAATGTAAAAATGATACCATGGGTGGGATTTTTATAAATATCCATGTGACTTAGGAGCCCATGTCCCACTGACTGTAAGTTTTGTGTTCCTGCATTATTTGTGCTTTTGAAAATTTACAAGGTGAAATTTATGAAACTGATGGATCAATATGCCCACCAAATAATAATTGTACTTAAGCTTTTCAGAGCATGCGTCATCTTATTTCTATACATTGCTTAGTTGATTCTGGACTGGCACCCTAGGGTTTTACTATGGCCCCTGCTACACATGACATATTATGCAATTATGTGGTTAATCATGCAAAAAAAATTACGCTGGACATGTGCAAAGTAATTATCACACGATAAAAAGAACTATCCAGTGATAAAAAGAGCCAACCAGCTGTAAAAGTAGTGCTTGAAAATGTGTAACAACTCTGTAGCTGGTTTCTCTCCATCTTCAATTTGAACGTGTAGCAGGGCCTTATGATACATTTATTAAAAGATTATAGTAGATATTGATAATTTTAGCACAGATGTTTACAGAGTAGTCTTTATTATCTTTCCACAGAATCATGTAAACCCAGCAATGGATTTTACACAGACCCCTCCAGGAATGCTAGCCCTTGACAACATGTTGTACTTCGCTAAGCATCACCAGGATGCATATATACGGGTAAGGTTTGTTTCTCGTTTAACAGATTAGATTCCCAGTTTACATGCTTTATATAATATCTGCGCATAATTTCAGGAAAATAGATGGGATCCTGACACCACACATAGGGATTAACTACTGGAAAGAATACCTGACAGCATAAAACACCACCCTTTTAAGCTTTGGGTCAATGTTCTACTGTTTGTATAACTGGTTCAGATAATCTGAAAAACTCTTTATTTTCGAAGATTATGTACAAAGAAAGGTGGGGAGGTGGGAATAAGCATGTGCCTTATGTGATGTATGAAGGAAGGCTTGAATGATAAAAATATATGTATGTATTTTTGCATATTTTTACACATAGCAGCATGATTCTGTACTCTTCTCCATTCCCTTTACCTAGTCAAAAATGCACCTCATCTCCGCAGGTAGGAATTTCTCCAGTGCTTGACTAATAACCACCTTGTCAACTGACCTTATCAACAGTGTCCTAAGAATGAAGATAGTCCTACTAGCATGGCATTGGAAATGATGCACTTCATTTGGCAAAGTGGGAGAAAAGGAGCATGATTCACTTTGCACACCCTGCTCCTGCCCCCAGTCCCTGCCCACTCCTCCTCCTACATTGGTTATTTTAAAGGCAGTTTGGTAACAACCGTTTATATGTTGTCTCCTTATGTAAAGAGTCATATAACGGAATAATTCCAGCATCTAAATAGAATCAGTTTTACTGATTTTTAACTGAAACTAAATATTTTGCCTTCAGTAAGCCTTCCTAGTATGAATGAGAACAGAGGATGCGGAAATCAATTTGGTAGAAGACCCACAAGTCAAATGGTCCTGAAATAGCTGGGACAGCTAAATGGTGCAGTTCCAAGGGGTTTGGGGATGGGGAAAGAAGTCTGTTGAAGTCTTCTTTAAATATATCCAGAAAATAATAAATGTATAAATCATTGCTGGTAATTTTTTTACGGGAGCGCTGTAAAATATGGTGCATAAAGGTGCTAATAAAATGTGAACTTTTAAGTTATGTTCATTACCCTACAGCCGTCACTCAAAGAAGATGCCTTCAGATGTTTGCAAAAGGGCATGCTGACATCCAGTCCAAAGCAGACCCATAAGCAGAATGTCACCATAATTGGAAACAATAAGGATACTTGTCAGATTTGCCCTTTAAAGACCTCTCTCACACAGCTCAGCTCTAATGTGGCCATTAAAGAAGCAGGGGTAGCATGCAATGCAATGACTATTATGTCTGTATTTAAAAAAAAAAGAAATCAGGACCATTATTATATATTAAAAGATCAACTTTAAAAAATGACCAAAAGACTAAGTTGAATTCTATTTTCTTTCATTGTCTAAGAGAAGTAAATACTCATTGTCTTTGAAATGTTTTTGGAAGCTGGATGCTACTGTCCATAAACTCATTTTTGAAAATCCTGATCTTAAGAGATGAAATACTCTTTGCTGAAGGAGCACAGCATCTGTTCCCAGCTGAGACCAGGCCAATTTTTTTGAATGTAGGAGTAAAGTAGTACAGCTGGAGTGGTATTGTGGCCATGGTGGTTTGGGGAAATATATGAAGCAAGGTTTGTTTGGTGATATCCTTTCACTGGATCAGCTGTTAAGTTGGGAAAGGTGTTAAGAAAGCTTTTGGGCACATAATGCCATTCCTCCTTTCTCACTTCCCTTTTTCGTCACTTTACTGCCCCATCATCCTTTCTTAAGTGACTGTTTTCATGTACATAATGCAATGAAACACAAGTTATTTTTTTATTTGGTGTTTTGTGTAGGGTCACATCTGTGTCTTTCCCATACCTGAGGAAAGCATTTTGGGCTGAAAAGCTTGTTTAATATCTCTCCTGATTATTAAGTAGGTCCAATAAAATTTTGCCAAAAAGGCTCTTGCTACTGAATAAAAATCATCATGAAATTTCATCTTTTTCTTTAAATTCATTTTTGCAAGTACTTAAGAACTAGGTTTGCAAATTCACCCCTATTTAAATGCTACTCAGCTTCTTGGTCATGGCTTTACTTGATTCTGCAATGTAGATTTTTTTTCTAATACCATTCTGATTGACAGGTGTCTTTGCATTCACTGTATACATTATTCCCTTGTATATGCGTGCCTGTTTGTATATAATCTGTGTTATTAGGGTCATCAAATGCTTCTTGTGCATTAATAAACTTGTTCTCATGGTACCTTGAGAGGCAGCAATTTTATTCTCATTTAATGAACGGGGATTTGTTGTACAGGGTGATTAAATTACTTGCTCAGGTCATAAGAGTTTGCAGCAGTTCTGGAAATGCACCCCAGACCTCCTGAGTGCCTTCATCATTTGAACACTGTCCCTGCCATCCCAGCTAACCACATTGTTCCAATGTACCATGTTAGCATTGTGCCCAAACAATTCTGGGATCAAAGACTTGGGAATGTAACTGGAGTGCTGCAACTCTTTGATCATAGGAAGACATCTGGCTTTCATGTCATTCATCTCCTTGTCTCACTTACAGACCCTGATCTATCCCAGCAGGCCACATTCCTCTTACCCAGGTCCCTGTTGGATCTTCCTGTTTAGCTCTTGCTTGCCTGTTTCCTTCTCTTTTTGCCATCCTCATGCTCTTTACATGTCTTTTAACATGTTATTTCACAGCTCTTCCTGAACTTTGGCTTCTCGTGCTCCTTTCTCTGAGTCTCACTTGTACCCACTCCACTCCTCAGTGTTTTCAATCTTGCCAGACGTGATCAGTCATAACCCTACAATGGATTTTTATGTGATCTCAGTAACCATCTATTCCCAGCTGTCTCTTCAAACATACCTCTGCTTCCCCACACACCCTTTGCTCTGGAATTTAAGAGAAAATGTCACAAAAGTGGAGTTGAAGAATGTGATGCTCATACTATAGATGAAAATCTTTAAAACTCCTCATATATGAAATTCAGTATTAATGAACTGCACTTCTGTTTTGACATCAACGCTGTATACATTTTATCTCCCCTTGCAAATAATAAGGATAATAAGCTGACTGAGAGCAAAAAGGAATGGGGAGGGTATGAAGAAGAGTGATAGAAGGAGAATAAAAAGGAAGATTTTAATACATATGGCTTGATTTTATGCCCATTGAAGACAATGATAAAGCTCCTTATGATATTAATGGTTCAAGATGAGGCCTGTAGTTACTCTGTCTTTTAAGTAGCTGAGCACAATGTTCCTAATCCAACAAGATAATTAAGGATATATTTAGTTCTAAGCATGTGAATGGTTCCATTGAAGCCAATGACACAATGCACATGCTTAAAAGGTCAAGGTACACTTGTACTATTCTGGATTGGGGCTATTCTCAGCACCTTACAGGATCATCCTGAACCCATAGTGAATGTTTGTGGTCTCAGTGATATCACGTGAGGATTTGGAGCTGAGTTACTGGAGTGTAGGTGACATTCACATCCATGCCTCCCAATTTACTTGGTAAGATTCTAGCCTTTGCTGATGTACCTATGAAACTTTTATTAGTAGTTGCAGTCCTGGAGCCTGTTATGATGTCTAGAGGAGTCTCGTTCTTGGTTACGTGGTAACATTCAGGGGCACTTAGAATTGTCAGCAAATAAAAATATCCATTGTGGCCAATGCTTTTTTTAAACCTTCCTACATTATGATTGGAAGACAGTGTCCTGGAAGAAGAAATTTTGTAAAATTGCCCTTTGTAACAAAGTTAATTACTGTACATTGGGTTTCATTGAGGAAATATCCATGCCCTGGACTAATTACAATCTGAGACTCGCAACCAGAGCTGATGTGAAATAAAGTTACAAGCCAGAGAGATTCTTATCCCAGGATGTGGGGAATTAAAAGGTATATCATCAAGAAATTGTGCTAGTTATACTGATGGCACCTTCTTCCTAAGTCCAGCATTGTGAGTGGCTTTACAAATCTCTGAGCTCTAAATACACTTTATTGCTCCCCATCAATATGGCTACAATAAATGAATCCTCCTCTATTTACTCCCTTCCTCCTCAGCCTTCTGACATTGCCTGTGTCCAGTTTCATTTCGTGATTGAAGGAAGACTAATTTTTCTTCCCCTCAATGAGTAATCTGTTTAGAATTAAACTATAGGTAACAAGTGGAGTACCTGGGTGGAAAGTTAAATTGGCTATGATTGTGGGTATGTCCCTGGGAAGACTAGTAGCTAATCAGGTTGCATAATCAGGGTACATTTTGTACAGTCCTCAGCTGATTACAGATCTCTGTATTCTCATTAGTAATGGATGGTAGCCAGCCAGGGTACAGTGATTTTTATAGCTGTGTGGTTATTTCTCATCTGTACTATGAAAATGCAAATCAGTAGCTCTCATGTACAACAATTCCATGTTTTTTCTCCAAATAGATCTAACCTCAGCATGTCCTTCCTGGTAAAGCAGAAAGCGCCAAAAATAAACCCAGTATTTAATGTGCATGCACATATCACCATAAGTGTGTGGTGCAGTGCAAAGCCATGAACAACCATGTCTGTAACCAGAGGAGCTTAGTTGCAAAAAGTCACACACAGTTTTGCAAAAGCACCATTGTTTAAGGGAAACTGCATAGAAACAGCGCTGCTGAAGTTGGTGATGTTAGCCTGATTTTTTTTTTCAGATACTTTGCTTATGCCTCTCTTCTTGCATGTAAAGCTCTCCAAACATGCCTGTGAACATATGGAGCTATTGAGACAGGGCAGAGCAGAATTTATAGGCCTTGTGCTTTGTGAAAGGGTGGAGGAATGATATGCTGCGTCAAAAAAAACCTTAAAACAAAGGGGAATGCCAGGTGATGCATGGCAACTGCAGATGGAAGAGAGATAGTTGCATCTTAAAGGAAGAAAGAATTTCAGGACGAAAACAGGACTGTCATACTACCGAAAGAGAAAAATTAGAAACAAACTTGAACAATAGTTTATTGGAGTCATATTGCCCTTCCTTTTACCCCTCTCCCCCCATTCTGCACTCTTCCTTGCTTACTGTTCAGCAAGACTGTTGTTCCTC